CCTATCCCCTCGTGTGCCTTGCCTCCCACGACTTGGAAAAAACGGGGAACTAGCCCACTAGCTCATAAGAACATATGATCCCAACGTATCAGATTAAATTTAGGCCGATCTGATGATCACGGATGTACGGTAATGTTTGAATTTTATTTATTTTTCTACAAATCCAAATCACTTGAAATTTTAGGTGTGTGTTTATCAAAAATAGGTGAATCTTTGAAAAATATCAAAATTTTTTGTACATGAAATAAATAGATCAAAGTACCCCCAAAACATTTCAGAGGGTATTTTGGTCATTTGTTTTTCACAAATAAATTTTTTTTATATTTTTATTAAGTGCGCCTTGATGAGAAGAACACACGTCTAAAATTTCAAGAGATTTGGATTTTTTTTTAAAAAAATAAAATTTAATCACTACCGGATATCCATGATCGTCAGATCGGCTCAGATTCATTCTAAGCCGTTGGGCTCATATGAGATAGTGGGCTAATCTCAGATTTTTCGATATATATAACTTTAATAAATATATTTTTTGATTATATATTTTTAGAAAGGGATATTACTCTAAATAGTTTGGAAAAAAGTCCTGATAATGATGAATTTTAAAAATGGATATTATTTATTATGTATACCCTATTTACTTCCTTGAGGGTTTTCTATGTGACCCCACCCACATATATGGTATATGTGACCTCTGGTCTCAACCGTCAGATCTGAGTAGATGGTTGAGATAGCTTGAGTCACAATGTCACAAGCTAGCATTTAACCGTCAGTTCTTGATCAAATGACTCATACATTTTTTATTTTTTATTTTTATTCTACAAATAATTTTGAAGCAAAGTTTAGGACATGAATAGATCTAACAGGGGCACACATGATAAAAATAATAATAATAAATTTCCAGTGATGAAAAATTAACAGAATACCCCTGAAAAATATTTGGTTATTTATTTTTATAGAATATATTTGTTTTTTATTTTTAAAAAATTGTTTCATGTGAGTTGGACCACATTTCTACATATGTGGTCTAGAAAGTGTAAAGCAACCATTGTAAAGATGAATGCAAGTAGGTGTTCCACCTAAAAATGATAGAAACTAATGGTCTAAATGTTTTCTTACTAGAATTATTATTTCTACTTTTAAAATTTATTTATTTATTTATATTCATGGTCTACATGTTAGATATTACATGTCCTTAATAATTAATTCTTAAAGTCCTTCTTAAAAATAGATTTATGAAGATGCCTGCATTTCTACATATGCAGGCTTGGCCGCATAGGAACTGGGTCCTTTATTTTTTTCATGTTCATCCTAATTTAATGGTGGGACGGCCAAGATTTCATCCAAACATATTTTGTATAGAAAATGAAAAATAAAACCATGGTTGAGGTAAGTACCATATAATTTATATGTTGTTGGGGTCGCATAGAAACATTTCCCTCTCCCATGCTTTTAACTGTCCACCACAAAGGAGAAAGATGCAAGACACTTTAAAAAGACGCAAGACACACTTTAAAAACCTCGGAGCAACTACGATTGCGCCGCATAGACACACTTTAAAAAACTTACATTTTTAAAACATTTCTCTCCATAACTTTATTATAAAAGTATTTAATATTACCTAATATAATAAATAAATTAATGCACTGAAGTGTTGTGTTTGAGTGATCACTTTTAAGTAGTGTTCTAAAAATCGTCCAAGTCGACACGGGAATTAGTTACCCTGTATTGATTCTTGTGTAATACCGGCAATCGCCCGATTCTAGATAAGAATTACCGATTTTGACCGATTCTAGATGAAGTCGATTCTTGTGTAATACCAGCAATCGCTTGATTTTGAATCGATGAGCGATGGGTGAAGTCGATTCTTGTGTAATACCGGCGCTGATAAATAGCGAGGGAATCGATCATCCCGTGTTGATTCTTGTGTAATACAAGCGTAAATAGTGAAGGAATCGGTCACCCCCGCTCGATTCTAGCAATCGCCCGATTTTGAATCGATGAGCGAGGGTAATACCGGCGCCGATAAATAGCGAAGGGATCGGTCATCCCGTGTCGATTCTTGTGTAATACAAGCATTCTTGTGTAATAGAAGCATAAATAGTGAGGGAATCGGTCACCCCCATTTGATTCTAGATGAGAATCGCCGATTTGGTCACCCCCGCCCGATTCTTGATGAGAATCGCTGATTTTGAATCGATGACATCATAAATAGGATGAGGATGTTTTGGTAATTTAGTTTGACGTTACGGGTCGGCACTATGGACTGTAGGTGTACTTCTGCACCTCTTCTTCATCACGTTAGCAATAAGGGCATTAAAGAGGCATTTATAGCTTTGAAAATTTGTCTAATCCTTCGATGTGGGATTTGAGCTGAGTGATATAACGTTGAAACGTTATTCAATATAAATATTGTTATACCAATTTATTCAACAACCTGCAATGGGTTGCCATGGTTAGCATTTGTGGTTCTTCTTCAGACGTCCCAAGGTCGAAAAAAAATTTATTGTATTAAAAACAAATAAAACAAAAAAAGTAATATCATCAAAATAATAAGGGTGCGGTTTGTATAGAGCTTAGGCTCTAAACAATCAAATTAGAGCTTACCTTCAAATAGCTTCGAGAAATGTGGTTTCAATGCTGAAAATCTTTTTTATAGTCTTAAAATATATTTTCATCTTTATTTATAAAATTATAAGCTTCCAAAATAGTGTAGATTGAGAGATCTAAGAAAACATCAAAATCTTCA